GAGGCGGTAAGCGAGGCATCAGATCATGTTGCCGGAGAGGGAACTGACTCCGCCAGGCGTATCATACTGTTAAGCGTTAGCAACGATCGCGTGACCACACAGCAAACAATGGGTTTGCCACGTGTGCTGCAGCTTAAAGTCGGAGCACGGTACATGATGACGTATAACTTAGATACAAGTGACGGGCTCACAAACGGTGCTACGGGGCGACTAGTACACATCGATATGTCACAACAATGCCCGGGCATAAATGCGCCGCGAAAACCGGTGCGCGTATGGATGGTATTTGATGAGCCAACGGTGGGCACCAATCTTCGGAGAAGATATAGTGCCATCATTGCTGGACTGCAACATCCTCCTGACTGGACACCGTTGGAGCCCGCAACTGTGACGATAAAACGTAATAAGTCGTCGAACTTGCAAGTGCTTCGGAAGCAATTTCCAATGGTGCCAACCGAAGCAATAACAATCCACAAGAGCCAGGGCCAGACATATGCGTCTGTTGTCGTTCACACAACACGAAGAATGACACGAGCACTCCTTTATGTTGCTCTATCACGTGTTACGTCATTGGCAGGCCTTTTCATCATTGGCTCTTTTGTACCACCGAAAAAACCTCATCCCAACGATGCACTGCAGCTGGAACTGCAGCGCCAGGAGCGGTGTTTGCTGATACCGGCATTTAAATTTCTGCACGAAGCACGCACCGTTGTGCAAATACTGTATCACAATGTCCAAAGTTTCGGGAAACACGGTAAGCAAATCGAGAACGATTCAGTGTTCAGAACAAGTGATATAATACTCCTCGGAGAGACCTGGACATTGACGACGGAGCAAATAACTGTTACCGGATTTCGGCCAGTATCGCGTACTGATTGCGCAGGACCTGCCAGAAAAGCTGGAGGAGCGTGCTGTCTCATATCGGAGCAATTGTTGGATCGAGCACATGATGCTGGGTCGATAAGAATTGAAGAAAATGGCAATTTACTTCACTCGGCGTTTGTTAAACTGGACGATACGCTCATTGCTGGTGTATATGCAGCTCCAGGAGTTACTGATGACTGCATTCGTCACTTCTTATCCAGGATCTGCACTGAATCTGGACGAATACTTGTCATGGGGGACTTCAATCGTAATGTTAGCGGCAATTACAACGGCGCCTTTAAGGAAATGGTACAGCACTTCGGCTTAACAATTAGAAACCTCGACAGTGCTACAACAGCC